AGATGCCCTGCCTGCCTTCCACCCATCCCCAGCCAGCAGTTGAGAGCGTGTCCTCAGATTTGGAGGTGGGGGGGGGCTGTCAGAAATCAGCCCCATGAAGGGTTGGGTGCTGCTTTCATGAAAGCAAGGAATGACCATTGCCCCCTAGAGAGGTCCCGGGGCTGGGGTGTGACGGGGACCTGGCTGAAGGCATCAGACCAGGCTTTCCCTGCTGCATCTCTGCTCCTGCTGCACTGCAAAGGGCCTGCTGGTTCTCCTCCTCCACTGCTGGGACTTCTGACTGGTGCAGGGGGACTTTTCCAACCCAAGTATTTTAACTTACCTCTCAGCCCCGAGTCTTCAGCATCCTCAGGACCTCAAGTGGCTCAGTGCTGTGGAGGAGAAGACCCTGGTGCCTTGCTCACCCCTGGTATACCCAGGACCTGCCAGAGCACAGAGCCAGCACTGGGAGAGGCAAGCAAGTGGCACGGGGAGCACTGAGACCCAGGAGGGGCACGGGGTAACATTTTAGGGTCTCGCACCCACCCAAGCGTTAATGTGCCCTGGGAGAGAGGGGGAATGAGGGCTCCCGCCCATGCACAAGCCCTTTGCTTTCAATGCTGCCCCTTTAAGACATCACTTAATATGACAGATTAATTAGTTAATGTTTGTAAAGTGCTTTGAACATGAAAAGTGCTGTATAAGTGCTGAGTATTAGTATTAATTATTATGGCATGGAGGCTGGCCCCATCTGAGCAGCATTCCCCACGGCTAATTTCAGGCCGGTGCCGTTTCGCCGCCTCTCCCACTCTGTTGCCCCATCCTGTAAAAGCCAGAGGGAGAAGGGGAGAAGCAGAGAGGAAAAAGTAGGACCATCTGCATCCTGCGAGGAAGGAGAACCTCATGGAGTCATGTAGGGGGGGCTGAGCCATGTACCCTCTCCGCTCCAGGCAGGGCATCGCGTGGGAACCGGAGCCGCATCTCCCCAGTGCCCCACTGGCATGGGGGGACACACGAGGGAGCACCCTCTTGCCCCCAGCTCTGCAGTGGGGCCAGGGTTGGAAATATCGTCGGAAGGATGGAGAATATGCGGGGGGGGGCGGTTCTCCAGCTCATCCCACCCATGCCTAGGTGGGGGCAGCCAGCACTGGTGGCAGCTTCAGGCAAAGGGGACGAGGAGGGGGTGAGAAGGTTTTTGGGGTCTCTGAGCTAGACGAGGCGGGGAGGCGGCTGCGTCCTAGACGTGCACGTGGCAGGGTCGGGAGCTCCCCGGCGTCCCCCTGAGCCGGCGCCTGGCCCGCTTTGCTGCCTCTCCCCTCCTCGCGCCCTCCTTCTTGGCAAGGCTGCTGCTCCCGGGAAGGGTCCCTGGAGGGGGAGCAGAAATGGGGCGGCGGGTGCCCCCAATTACCCGGGCGGTGAAGCCTCCTGCCGGCTGGTCCGTGAAATGGGTGTGCTGGCAGGCGTTGGGGGGGTGGGTGTGAGGTGCTACCGGGGTCCCAAAGGAGAGGGGTGAGCTGGAGAGGGGCTGGGCTGGAGTAGGGGTTGGTCTGGGAGGGTCAGAGCGGGGACCCACTGGTGCCGGCCGTGGGATCCCATGAGGTGCATCGGACGGCGGGGAGGACCGTGGTGCCATGATCGCGCTGCGACCCGTGGGTGTCTGCCGGGACATCTGGAGCCCGGTGTGCCTTCACCCCATTGCCCCCCTGCCGCCGCCGAATTAACCCCCCTGGTCCCACCTGCTCGTTCAGCTCTTGGTCTCGCTGGCCCGTCATGGGTCAGACCCTGGCCGCGCTTCGGATGGGCTTTGTCACTCAGGTGTCTGCCCTTCCCTGTCACCCCTCTAATCCGGTGGTGACGGGGTCTGGTGGGGATCCTGGTCCATTCCAGAAAGCCACGGAGGGTCCCACAGCGAGCGGGAGCCCAGCGGAGAGCGAGGGGACCTTGGCACGACGCCGAGCATTTCCACCAGGCAGCCACTGCCAACCCAGCTACTGAGGAAAATCGCCAGAAATCCCATGAGTGGCTGAACAAAACCCCAAAACGACATTAAGCCCACGTTCTTTTTTCTTTTTTGAGCCCTCAAGCCTGTGGGAATTCTGAGCTCGCTGGCGGTTCTTGGCTTGCCACCATGAGAGCTGCTGGTTTTGGGTGGGAGTTGGGGCACCATCCCTCGTGGTACCACCACCGTGGGAGGAACGGGACAAGAGGAGTGACGCTGGGGGCTAAACGGGGGCTGGAGCAGATGTTTTGGAGGGCATCAGGGAAAGCCCACATGCGTGACTTGGGTTTACCCGCACTTACTTCAAAAAACAATTGTGGCAAAGCCCTCTCCTCTTGCCTTATCTTCCTGCTTGTACCTCGAAGACAGGCTTGAGAAGAGCGGTTGAAGCAAGACCATCCACTGAGTTGCCAAAGAGGACAAAACTCTCTGCAACAGTTGATTCTCTTGCTGGGTTTCCAGGTGCTCCTCCGGCACAGTGGAACAATAAATCCCCCCCCCAATAAATCCACATAAACGAGGACCAAGTTATAAAAAAAAAAATCTTTATTTCATGTACCAGGATTTTTTTTTTTTTGTCATTTTCTCTTTTTAAAATTTTTTTTCTTTTTAACAATCTGAAAAAAACCACGAAATAAAGAAAATGGAGGTTGGTTTCTCATACTGGTTTGAGCTGGACATGAGCGACCCCCTCGAAAAAAAAAAAATTTCCCCACCAGCCCTCACCTCCTGCACGTGCTCTCCCCCTTTCCCGCCTGGCCCCGGGGGGGGCATGCTCGGCCCTGTGAATGCTCCCCAGCTCCGCGCGGCGTCGGACGGGCGAGGGTGGCTGGGGATGGAAACCCCAACGCCGCTCTCCCTCGACGCCGGGGGTCCGGGAAACCAGCTTTAACTTATTCCTTGGGGGGGGGTGGGCATCGGAAAGTGGGGGGGTGGTTCCCTGTGAATCTTTTTTAAAGGGCTGGAGGGGTCACGGGAGGGGATTTCAGCGACGCGGGGGTCTGGACACCCAGCCGAGCCGCTCGCATCCTCCTCTTGCCCTGTGATGCTGTTTTTTGGGGGTGACCCCCCCTCCCATGGCTGGCCCCCCCCCACCCTGTACCTGGGGAGGGGGGTTAAAGCAGCGGCGGCAGGGGGGTTGCAGGGAGGATCAGGCTGCTTTTAAGAAGAAAACCCGCTGGGATGCAAAGCGGGGGACTGCGCAGCTCCTAAAACTGGAGCAACGGGAACGGGGACGGAAAAAAAAAAACCAACAACCAGTCGAAAAGTGGGTCTGAGCTGCCCAAGGGCTCGGCGGCCCCATCCTGCAAACCCTCGGCCTCGCGCCTGCCCCCGGGGTGCTGCTGCTTTTGGGGAGCAGCCCCAAAAGGAGCCCTTGTCCTTGCCGCAGCTCATGGGGGTGTCACAGAGGGGTCCCCCCCCTCCACGCTCCCCTGCCGCCGTCTCCCCTCCTGCTTGTATCCGCGGCGGCCATTGCGGGGGGAGCTGGATTAAAAGCGGTTCCTGGCACCCCCGGTACCCCATTTCCCCCCCTCCGAGCATGGCAGGGAGGGAGGGGGGCTGCAGCCAGGCCAGGGGTCCCGGTGTGGGACCCCGGCGAGGTGGGGGACGAGGGTAAAACCCAGCAGACGTGGAGATGCCCGACGACTTCGCGCCTCTCCCTGGCATGGCCGCCATGACTTGTGGGGGGGGTCTCAGGCCCGGAGCGGGGGTCTCCCCAGGATGGAGGCCGGAGGGGGTTCGTGTGTCGAGGCCGAGCAGCCGGTGGCCAGCTTTGGGTCGGGGGGGGGGCTTGGCCACGGCCAGGGTGGGCGAGGAGCCATTTTGTGGGGCAGCAGGGTGGGCCTCACCATACCCTGACATGGCCGCAGCCCCGCTGGTGGGACCTAAGGGGGATTGCGGGCAAATTTGGGGGGCCGGGGGGGCACGCGTCTGCCCTGGGGAGCCTCCGGAGCATTCACAGGAGAGCGTGTCTGCACGAGTGCTGCCCTCCCCGCCATCGGCACGCTGCCCTCGGCTTTGGCCTCCCGCGGCCCCCCCCGCTTCCCACCGCAGCAGCAGCATCCCAAAGGGATGGGAACCCCCGTTCCCCTCCGTCAGCCCCCCACCCTCTGCCTGAGCCTCCCACCCCGCTCCCCGCTGTCTTTTCTCTTTTTTCTTTTTTTTTCACAGTTTAAAGCTGGAGAAAACAAAAATGAAAAGAAAAAAATACTATCTGTTTTTCTTGCAAGTAAATCCACTTATTATATTTACATTTATTTATAGCTGTTGTTTTATTAAAAAAATTGCCACTTTTTTTTTTAAGAAACCTTTTTTTGTCCTTTTTTTTGTCTCTGTGTGTGTGTGTGTGTGTATCTTTATTTACTGTGTCTGCTTTTTGTACTGTCACTGTTAACCCCAGGGTCCCCAGGGCCGGGGAAGTGGGGACCCCCCCCTGGGGACACTGCAGAAGGGTGACTCAGCATCGGCTCCTGGACAGGAGTCACTCTGAACCCCTACGGACCCACGGGGGACGAGCGGATCCCCACGGATCCCGGGGGAACGGAGCGGATCCCCACGGATCCCGGGGGAACGGAGCGGGTCGCAGTTGACCCTGGCGCCCCAGGATCCTCCGTAACTGGCCCAAGGACACCAAGTTGCTGCCACCTGAACCCCCATCCCCTGTCGCCTGAGGAGCCCATGCTGGGTTAAAGGTAAGTGGGAAACAAACCGTAAAATTAAATAATAAAACCCCCCAAAATCCAAAGAGCTGCCTCCTCCTCTTCCTCCTCCCACTTGATTTATTGTCGTTTGTTATTTCTTGGTTCCCTTTTATTTTTTTTTAAGTCTGTTTTTATTAAATGTTAAAATAATGGTACATGGGAAATCATGCATTTTCTTTTAAATTTATTTCTATTTTTTAAATCTCTTTCGGTTTTAAAGTTTTTCTTTTTTTTCCTTTTTTCTTTTTCTTTTTTTTTTTTAAACAATTTTTTTCACTGTCGTCTCTTTCCTCGAGTTTCCTTTTCATTTGTTTGTTTGTTTTTTTTGTTCTCTCGCTTGTTTGTCTGCTTATCTGCTTGTTCGTTGGTTGGTTTTTTTGTTGTTTTTTTTTTTGTTGGTTTTTGTTGTTTTTTGTGGATTTTTTTTTTTTTTTTTTTTTTTTTTGCGTTGGGAAGGTTCCCACCCCCCCAAGGGGCGCTTCCACCTCCTCCTCCTTCCCACCCCCCTCCTGCCCCCTGCTCCCTTCCCCCCTCCCCACCCCGCAGCCCACCCCATCTCCTCCTGCCCGCTCCTGCCCCATTTTCAGCTCCTGGCGACGGCTTCATACCGGGGTGGTCCGGCGGTTGGCTGTGTTGGTGTGGATAGAGTCCTTGTTCTCTTTCTGGATACAGTTGTGAACCTGGAGGAAACTGTTATCCCTGTCGGAGTTGTAGGTGGCGGTGGGGGTGGTGGTTGCCTTCAGCGGGTCCCTGGTCAGGGTGTACATCGAGATCTCTGTTGATGGGAGGGTGTTGAACCCTTTGATCCCGACGGGAGAGGCATCCCTGGAGTGTGAAGGCTCGGTGGAGCGGGAGCTGGAGCGGCTGCGTCTCTGATAGCGGTACCGATAGCTGGGGATGCGGGTGATGGCGGAGGACTGGAGGTAGTCCGTGGCACGAGCGTTGGCGCGCAGCTGTTTGTGCCGGTCTATGAACATGTGGACGGCCAGCACTCCCACCATCTCAGCTATAATGAAGGACAGGGCCCCAAAGTAGAAGGACCAGCCATAGGAGTAGCTGTTCTTCTTGGAGTCACTCTTGGAGGGGTCTCCAGCGTTGGCTGATATGTATACGATGATGCCAATTATATTACTCAGACCTGCCAGCCGGCCGGCGGAGGAGAGAGAGGGAGACGTCAGGAGGGTCACCCATGGCAGCGGCGGGGGCCGTGGGGTTGAGCCCCTGCCCCCAGGAGTTAGGGACGGGACGTCCCCCAGCCACCCAGCCCCTCCCGGTGGGCAGCTTTCCTTGGGGAAACGGGGCAAGACCCTCCTCGTGTGCCTGCTGCATCCCTGGACTGCGCTCCTGGCTGGTCCCTGGATGTAGGGAAACCCTCTCCCTCCAGCAGCTCCCAAGCAGCAGGCGGGGTGGAGAGGCATCCTTGGGAGGCTGCTTTCACCCCAATTAAGGCTCATCCAGGCTGGGAAACACACGCGCTCCTGCCTGGGCAGCAGGATGCTCCTGCTGGATGCTCCAACTGGGCAGGCTCCCCCCACACCCCCCACCCCGGAGCCCATCTCCGGGGCGTCAGGCCCTCTGCATCCCTTTACCTGCAGACACGAAGAAGATGCCGGCACTAAGGATGATGTTGTGTCGGGTTTTGTAGAACTCGCTGGCTGCAATGCAGAGTCCACCCATGAAAAGCAGAATCACGCTCAGGATCGGGAAAATACTAGAGGCTCTAACAGCCCCTGCGGAGGAGAGAGGGAGAGGGGCAGAAAGAACAGTGCAGGTGTGAGAGAGAGGAAAAAAGGGCACGGAAACGGTGCCGGGGCGAGGGGATGGGGGGACGCGAGCACATTTTGTGGGTGGGGGTGAAGGGCAGAGATGGAGGGCAACGTGTGGGGAGGGAGTAATTCGAGGAGGGATAAAGGTGTTGGGGGACGGAGGGAAGGAGAGAGAAACAAAGTGTGTCAGAAAAAGAGAGCGGTCCGAAGCAACTCTCCTGCGTCCTGGCCACTGCTGCTGGTGGGGGCTGTGGGGCTGGTGGCTGAGCTGGGAGCCTGCCCGTGCTGCCTGTCCCCCCTCACGCTGTCTTTTCCTCTGCTTTTGGGGGGACTATGGGCTGGAGGGGGAGCCCCAGCACCATCCCGTCTCTCCTCCTGCGGGGTGCTGCCGCTCAAGCCTGCTCTTCAAAGAGCAGCAACCCAAATGCTTCCCGTGGAGCTGCTCAATCTCAAATCCTCCCGAAAGGGCATGAGCATCTCAAGGAGAGAATTTTTTTTTTTTTTTTTTTTAGGGCTGGGAAGGAGCTCCTGATGCTGTGCACTGCTCTGCGGCTGCAGTGAGGACTGAGAAGCGAAAGTCCCAGCCCTGCGTGCAGAATCGCGGGGCTTATCCTAGTGGTTAAACGGCTGGGCTCCTTCCAGAGGGCAGTGATGGGTTCGGATGTGCCAGCTCCCACACACGCACACTCTCCATCGGTCGATACGGGAAGAGCTCAGCCAGCAGAGGGCAAGGGTATAGATGCACGTATATGCTCATACGCACGTGCAAAACATACCCCAAAGCTTCTGGGGCGACTCTCTCATATTCATGCAGCAAAAGGCCAGGACTGTGTAGACGTACACCCGCGCACGCACACACTGCTCGTGGGCTGTTCAGTGGGTACCAACAGTCTGCCTGAATTCATGTTGTCAATATTCACGTTTTTTAACTAGGAAGGCCTTCCCTCCTCCCTTCCCAAGAGAAAGTAAGCTGTTAAAGTGTGAAATGAAGCCTTGCTTGATAAAGAAAGGTATCAGATGGGCTGGTGCAATTCTGCTTGTGGAGCAAAGACCTGGAAGGGGGGATGAAAGCTAATCCCTCCTCGCCTGTAAGAATGAAACCTACTGAAGCAAGCGTAGGACTTTTTCCTACGCAGGCAGAGACCCTGTCAGTGTCAGGATCCTACCAGGCACAAGCAATCGGCTCTTTGAGGGGGGCCCTAGCCCACTGCCTGTGCGTGGGGAGTGCAAAAGGCAGGGTGAAACCTCTCTTGCTTGCTTTCCAGTTCTGCCTGGCTGTGTTTCAGGGAAGAGGATAGTGATAATAACCATCTTAATAGCTTCTGGAAAGCAAGGTGGGATTTGACAATGGGAAGCTTGAATGGCAGAAAGCAAACATCAGGCAGACATCCACTGTTCAGAGGGTTTCTAGAGGGATGGTCGGTCAGTCCCACAGCCTGGCCCTGAGCGCATCAGTTTTATCTGGGTCTTAATTCTGAAATTCATATCTGTTGGGAGAACACAAAGTTGCTGGCTGACATGGGGAGCTGCGGGCGTTATGTGATGGGGGAGGACAGCAGCCTCCCTCAGCCCCTGCTTTCTGTCCTTCAGGAGGACCACACCAGCAAGAGAGGGGCAGAATCTCATCCAGCCTTCCTGGGTCTGGAGCCTTTGGTCTAAAGAGAAGGGGACTCATGATGGTGTTCAGATGCTCCCTCCTATCATCTCTCTACTCTCTAACTCAAGTGTCTTCTAGCAAAGAAATGCAGGGATGCTTCTGCTTCCTCTCTGACAACAAGCATTTGATTTCAAAAAGCCTAAGGCACCTTATGTGGATGGCTGGCAGAAATAAAGTCTAAGCCCTTCTAGCCAGGCCATGGACACTGCCCCACGATCATCCTGGTCCCCTGAATGTGGGAATCGCCTAGTCTGATACTAATAAACAACTTCCTAGCTGTTCTTGCCAGTACCCATGCAGAGCGCCCAGGGAATCCGGTTTGGCAGAAGTCCTGGGAAGAAGCTGTTCAGTGGGGTCCCTCTCCAGTCAGGTCTAAGCCAGCAGAAATCCCACTTCCCTCAGAAGTGACCCAAATAGTCCTTTACTGACTTGCCAAATTCCTCTTTGAACCTCGTTCTTTCTTAAAAAGGGCGCTACCCTGGGGACACCATCAGGTCCTGATGTTGGGCCAGTCGTCGTCTTCAGATCTTGTTCCCTCTGAGGGAACAGACCCATCCTTCTTGAGATGTTCGCCCCCTTCCTCCAACTCTTCTTTCTGAAGGGCAGCTGATGCTGCAGGCAGCTTCCTCGCTCCCAAACGACTCTGCAAGAGCTGGTTTGCCCTCAGAGGCAGCCTCCATACTCGCTGTGCCAAACTGGATCAAACCCCAGTCTTCAGCTCTGCTGTTCAGGGGCCACACAGCGATTAAGAGACCAATGCTGCAGAAAGGCATCTGAAAGAAGCAATCTCCCTGGGTTATTTACAATTTACAGTGGATGAAGAACTGTTTGAGAAACCGAGAGGAAGCAGCATAAGATCTGCCTCTTTTCACATACAAATGAGCCTCACAGAGCCTAAATTATCTCTCTCATCCCTGCTGCAGGGCTGGGTCTCTACATCTGGCTTGGAGCATGCCCAGATGACAAGGAGCTATTCTGAAAGACTCCCGGCCTTTGGAGACCTCTGATGCTTAACCTTGGGAGGTCAAAAGCTCTTATCTCAGATTTCTGAAAGGAGAAGATCTCATGATGCCAAAACGCGTTGGGCTTGTGGAGGGAGGGCAGGATAGCGAGGTGGGGACCTAAGAGGAGGAGTGATCCCTGTTCAGCTGTGCCAAAGGAAGAGCAAGCTCCTGCTTCTGGGGCAGGTGGAAATGCTGACTTGCGATCAGGGAGGGCAACACATGATGTGGATCTGTCCTGCTGGCCAGGCTGCCTTCCCTGTCCCCATGTGCGACGCTGTGCAAGCTTTACCTGCACGTCCCAGGCTGGACTTGGAGCTTAGGTTAGGTTTCTTTATGGAGACGCCGTGTACCTGGGGTACAGCACCTCCCCAAGGGGCTCTGGGTGAGCATCAGGTCTTTTCTTCAAAGGGCTCTGACTGTCCTTATTCCTCCTTCCCATTCCCATCACTAAAATCACTAAAACCAGCAAAGATCAGGTCTGCAGCCTCTGTAGGCAAGTGGTGTTTGGGGAAAGGTGAAGACAGAAATAGGTGCTCCTCGGACACCATCTGGCTAATGTCTTAAATCTGATGCAACTGGAGTATCAGGTAAGGAAATACAAACTTCCTCTGCTTTAGGAGGACACACACACTCACACACACTCACACTGCCCCAGCCAGCGCAGTCCTGACCTTATGCCCACTCAGCAGCTCTCTGATGGATTTGAAGCCTCTGGATTTATATCCTAATTAATTGCCGTTAATAAAAAATGCCACTGGTTGTTACTATGAGTTCACACCTTGCACTCTCTCATGGGCAGGGCCCAGGGAGGTGAGAGTGGAGCCGTTTTTGGGGGTGGCGAGGCTCTGGGGTCACCTCCTCTGGCCCGCTGAGCCTCACAGGTCCCAGCATCTCCACCACCCTACCTGCAGAAAGCAAAAGGCACCCGACGCTAGCACCTACAAGCCATTGCAAGAAGAGCCTGCGGACTTACGGAGGAAATATTCTGCTGTATCGGCTTCATAATCTGCATCCTCAGGGAAGTGATCGATTTGCTTACACAGACCTTTAAAATTCCCTAGGGAACAAGAGAAAAAAAAGAACAAATGAGAACACCAAAACCTGCCTCGCAGAAACAGCTGCCCTCTGCATCGCCCTTTGTGCCCGCCCTGCCTTCCTCCCAGGCAGCACGCCCGCTCCTGTATGGATGCCCATTAAATGCCCACGTACTCCCCTCGCACTCTCGCACACGTATCTCCCTCTTATTTGCAGAGGAACGTGGGATTCGCCATCTGGATCCAGCCTGATGCCCACCTAGCCCAGCACCCCTCGCTCGACGGTGGAGAGCACCAGAGGCTTTGGCCAGCCGGCACGATTCCTGCCGCAGACGGACAGGAGAGCACCGCTCGCTTCGGAGGGAGGTGGGATGGGAAGAGGAGCCGGAGACTGGGTCACGCTGCGAAGCAAGAGGATTGGGGTCCCTTCCCTCAGCATTGGCCGGCGTAAATGTGGGTATTTGTGTTTCACCTGGCGTGGCCTTGGTGGATCCCAGCAGTGCTGTGTACGGCGGGGTGATCAGGTTTGGGTGGAAAAGCGTTTGTTTCTCTCAGCTGTGAGTTTGCTGCCTATTCGTTTCATGGGCAGGATACATCCCATTGTTCTGCTGCGGTATGAGAAGAACAAAAGCTCTTAATCTACTTTCTCCGTATGACTGCTTGGTTTTGCATACCTTTATCAGGCCTCCTCTTGTGTCCTCTGACAGACTAAGGCTACAAGAAGCTTGGTGCAAGCGTGCATATGCAGCTCAGCAGCAAAACACCCTCTGCACTGGGGGAGAAAAATCTTCCACCGTAAGTGAGGGAAGCTGGGCTGGTCACCCTCAGTTTTGCCCGGCTGGTTTATGTACAGAGCCTTCTGCTAGCTTTAGTCATGGGGCACCCTTTTTTTACACAGCCCACAACCAGCAAAGCTATCCCAGCAGGAGGCCAGTGACATCTTCTCAGTCTTTTGTCATCTGGGATGTCTACCAGGCTCTTATTTTTGTCATTCATGTCTCTCTCCTCTTGAAATCAGAAATACCACTCCAGAGAGGTAATCTTCAAGCCACGTCATCATCATGACCACTGGCTGACTAGTATCTCAAAGGATCAGGTTGTTCATGCTTGTACAGGGGTGACCATATGGCAGGCAATTCCATTATAGCTCCTGGAGTTCCCCCAAACTTTTTCTTCCGCCTTCCCTTACATTTCCTTCTGGACTCTTGCACGGGCTGTCCATTAGCACAGAACTGATGGACATAATCTGTCCGTAAAGGAGGAATGCAGTGTCCGCATGACGTGCATGGGATAGGCATGGTGATCCCATGGGCCCCCTCACCAGAGGTCAGCCACCAAAGTGGCTCATGCTGACTGATCCATCAGCAGAAGCGTTTGGGGCCCAAGTCTGGAGAGTGACAAATGCTGTCACCCAGGAAAGCCGCCTGCCACCCTGGCCCTGCCACTGGACCAACTGGGTGCGCAGGGTGAGGGGACAATGAAGCCACCACACTTGTGGTTGTTGCCCCTGGGAAGGGTTGCTTGTGAGGAACCCAGAGCTCTTCCAGGCCAACCCTACCCAGGCTGAGACCTGCAGGGTCCATGTCAAGTCCCCAAGTCATGTCTTGGAAGGTTTATTCCAGATGAATTCCAATGATCTTTCAGGTATTTGGGAATAGCTGGAAGAAGGACCAAGCTCAAAGGATTCCCCCTGAGTTTCTTCTCAGGGCCAAGCCTTGCTGGATCAAGGTTCGGGATGCTTTGGGAGGCAGTGCTGAGCAAAGAGCTGTAGAAGGCAGGTAGGTGGGTTCCTTTAGGTCAGCCCCCAAGCTCAGCTCCTTCTGCATCCCGTGGGCTCGTGTCTGATGCTTCTGAGATACATATCACCATTAACTACTAGTTCAAAGAGCTTCCATGAAGAAGCTAGAGACAGCAGAGAGGAGTATGTGTGTGTATGTAAGAGGTAAGCAATAGGAGAAGAAAGCAGGAACAAAGCCTCTCCGTGTACCTCTGAAGTGTTATTCCCGCACTGAAACTGTGGTTTAGGAAAGGAGGTTATTAATCACCCATCCCCAATTCAATTACCTCGTGCAAGAAGCATCTGCTTCTCAGCCATGGCTTTTCTGGAAGGAAAGCCTCATAGCCAAGCAAATTCCCTTGCCACAGTCCCACCCTGCTACTTGCCCACTTAAATACCTGCGAGGAAGGCAGATACAGCATGAAGGGGCTCCTTTTCCTTGCTTGTCCCTGACTGCCTGGGGCCATCTGCCCGCAGCAGACGAGCAGCTCATCACCCTGGTCCTTTGGCTGCGGTCACTGCTGTACAGTTGTGCTGGTTTTGGCTGGGATAGAGTTAATTGTCTTCATAGTAGCTAGTATGGGGCTCTGTGTTGGATTCGTGTTGGAAACAGTGCTGATAAAAGGGATGTTTTCCTTGCTGCTGAGCAGTGCTTACACAGAGCCAAGGGCTTTTCTAGTTCTCCCCCCACCCCACCAGCGAGCAGGCTGGGGGGGCACAAGGAGTCGGGAGGGGACACAGCCGGGACAGCTGACCCCAGCTGACCCAAGGGATATTCCAGACCATAGGATGTCATGCCCAGCATATAAAGCTGGGGGAAGGAAAAGGAAGGGAGTATGTTCAGAGTGACGGTGTTTGTCTTCCCAAGTCACCATTATGTGTGATGGAGCCCGGCTTTCCTGGAGCTGGCTGAACACCTGCCTGCCCATGGGAAGTGGGGAATGAATTCCTTGTTTTGCTTTGCTTGCATGCGCGGCTTTTGCTTAACCTATTAAACTGCCTTTATGTCAGCCCACGAGTTTTCTCACTTTTACTTTTCCGATTCTCTCCCTCATCCCACTGGCGGGAAGTGAGCGAGCGGCTGCGGGGGGGCGGGGTGCTGGCTGGGGTTAAAGCATGACAACAGTGCATGTGAACGCTGCTGCTCTCCAGCCCCAGATTTCAGCTCCTTGCCCAGCAGATCCTGAATGCTGAGTGCCTCCTGGCCGTACACGCTGGGGGAGCCGGCAGAGCCTGCGTGTACCCCCCAGGTGAGGCTGCCGGAGCGCAGCCAGAGCCCCCCAGTTGGAATCAGCCAGGGAGGGAAGAGGCACTGCAGCTGGAACCCCCCTCACTCTGTGCCATCCTTTCTTTCCTTGCTTCCTCTCTTCTCCCTCTCCCCTGCTTCGTTTCTTGCTGTATTTCAGCCTGATTAATTCCTATGTGAAGAATCAAGCTGCTTGGGAAAGATGCTGCATCTTGTCCAGGGTGTCTTTTACATGGACTTGTGTGGGATAGCTAGTTAGAGGTTCAGCCACTTAGGCAGGGTGAGGGGACATGCAGGCTCTTTGCAAATCTGTTCCTGGTGCCGAGTCTCCAAAAGGCATTGATCTGGCTCGGCAGGGTGCTTGGCCATTGGGGTGTCCAGCCTTGGCTTGCTTAAAATGCTGTGGTATTCAGGAGCTGCCCTTCACCGCAGGCTGATACGCTGCGCCAGGCTGATCCTCCTCCCTGGCTCAACCCTGCTCGGCGTTCGTGAGAGCAGGGCGGGCAGCGTTGGTCCCACCGTAGCCCCTGCGTTGCCTGTGCTGAGCACAGACCGCCGTGACGCTGGATGCTGACTATTCGTCTTGTGCTACCGCACCCTCTCCTCCAATGCCTCCTAGCTCCTCTGGGCAACGGATGGGGAAAGGATGCAGAATTTAGGTCATTAACGCGCTAACTGGGAATATAGGAGAACGAGAGTCGGTTTTTGCTCTGCCACAGGCGTGCTGTTAAAACCACTTCTTCTTTCTGCCTTAGAGTCCCACCCTGTAAAGCGGGGGTGACGGCACCCCTCTGCCTCGTGCCGTACGGGGACGTGTTAAAGAGGGCACGGCGTGGGTGCGCCGGCGCCAGCGGCTGAGCAAGCACACGGAGGAGGTGAGCGACGGATGGCGGCGGTTCAGGCGCCCGCTCGGTGAGGGGAAGGCCTCGATGTCACTTCTTGCGCCAAGGTCACTCGGCAATTCTCTGACAGACGTCTGCTGAGACGGTGCAGCAGCCTCCCCGGCACCTGCGCTGGTGGAAAAGCCGCGGCCACACGCGGGGAGAGGAGGGATGGACACAACAGCCTTTTTCTGTGCTGCACGTGTGGCTTGGGGAGCCAGGGAGGGAAAAGCCGTGTGCCACCCTCTAGTTAATAGCCCTGAATGCCTGAGCAAGAGCAAATCATTATTTGGGAGGGCGTGTAGGGCTCTGAGAGCCCCTGAAGGGAGTAAGAGCAATGTCCTCTGTACTTGTGTCCCTTTGCCCTTCTCATTCTTCCCAACTTGAGCTACTTCATGCTGCGAACCCTGAAACAGGCAGGTGTTGAGCTCTCTGGCTTCTCCTGCATCTCTGAGAAACTTCAGCCAGACGCTTCCACCTCCTCCCTGCAGCTCTCCCAGTGCAGTTCGGGCTCTCCCCTCATCCTCTTCCTTGTGCTCACCCACCAGATCTTCCTCCTGTTTCTCGGTCTCTCTCATTCATTGCAGCCACCTCCCTCTCTCCGGCATATCGGTGTCGGCATCCTTCGAGCATCCCGCTTCGGGATGCGCAGGCTGGGAAGGAGGTGGGGAGGAGCTCTGACTCATCTCAGGACAGAAAGGCTGGGGATGCCCCAGTCCGTGGAAAATCACCGAGCAGCCCTCAAATTCCCTGGGTATTACTGGGAGTTCTTAGATGAGATTCCCCATCTTTTGCTTGTTGCCTGCCCAAGCTTTGGAAAATGCAGTCTGCAGGAGCTAGGATTGGTGCAACAGGCACCCTGCTCAGTGCCTGGACCGGGACAGAAGTTGCCCAGCCAGGGCATTAAGATCAGAGACAACCTGCCATACTGCCAAGAGGGACTGAATGTCTAAGACGCACGAAAATCAACGTTAATTGCACGTTCAGCCCCCAGAGAGACCTCCTCCAACGTGGCCAGGTCATCGTTTGGGTACATGCTGTCTATCCAGGACAGCTGGCAGCCATCAGCTCTGCTGCAGCGAGAGTCAGACCGAGTTACCCCTGATGAGAACCTGGCTT